GGCCAGTTTGGCTGTCCCAGCTCCCAGCTTCTTGTGCACCTCCAGCCTTCTCAGTCAGTAGAAAACTAAAAAGTCCTTGGCTAGTGTAAGCATTACCTAGCAACAACTAAAACACCGGTGTGTTACCAACTTTGTTCTCCTCCTAAATCCAAAACACTGTACCAGCTACTAGGAAGGAAATTAACTCTATCCCTGCCGAAACCAGGACAGACTCTTAGAGCACTAAAGATAATTGTTTCTTAAGCAATGGAGCAAGGGACAGCAGTTCCTCTCTGTCCTTTAAGAGGCTCCGTGGCAGACTAAGTTTCTATTTTCAGTGCCTTAAATCTCTGATTGAAAAAAAGCTTCACCTACAAGCATCAGGTAAATTGCAGTTCAAGCATACGTTGCTTGTTTGCCTGTTTCCAGAGATTAAGTAAACATTCCCAAGCCTATTCAGAAATGAGATGTTCCAATTTACACAAGCCATCGCTCTGAATTTGCACTAGTTACTCATCTCAGCAAAGGCTAAGGACTTTTCTTCCTAAAATGTCCAACATCTGCCCCTCTGTTGAAGAAGAGAGGCACTGGTGTTCAAGTACATCAAACACCTTTCCATGTATACTCCAAAGACCTATGGTAAATGAGGCAGCCAAGATTATGGAGGATATTAAAAAAACACAAGGCTTCAGCATCTAAAATGGGCGGGGAGGATGAAAGAGGGAGGATGGGAGAGAGGTTTCCAGGACAAAACGCCAAGGTCATCACAGAAAGGTTTGTTCTGGGATAGCTTGTGCCTTACTTATTTTGTCTTGGATACATCTTCTGTTCAAAGACAGCTAGTGCAGTATCTTTGGGGACTCTCTTGCATTTTAAACTAAAACAAACTCCTTCTTCGGAACAGTCTACTGTTCCTTCCTCCTCCTTCTTTCTTCCTCCCCCAAGATCACAAAACAAGAATTCTCTTCACAAAGAGTGAATTGCAGGGGAAGCAAAACCTAGGAAGATGGAAACTAACTACTGTCTTTCATTCACACTTAAGTATACGCACCGTATAATGTGATTGGAAACGGCATTTCTGGTTCTTATGCTATACCTGCAGCACTTAAGAGAAACACGGCTTTCTTCTCATTCTCTAACTGCAATATAAAAATTGCTTCTGGAATACAGAAACTGGGGTGGACTACAGCTTCCCTTCAGTAAGAACCCACAGGCCCGGCTAGAAGTGTCTTCACAAGCTCTACAAAGCGCCGTCACAGAGTGCCTCTCCATCCTACCTTCTTTTTCTCTGTGTTTTCTTTGTCCGCAGCATCCCACTGCCAAACACTTTTCATATCAAAAACAAAAGGCCCTCTTCTTGTCTCATAAATACTACCATGATGGTCATCAGCCTTAAACTCTCTGTGAATCATATATTCTGGTAGAGAGGAAAGAGGGCTCCTGCCCGCAAAGATGTAACGCTTGTTTGTGCCAGGGATACATTCCTAATGTTGCACTTCATTACAGAATGATTCTGAAATACTAACAGGCGAAGAGAGAACCCAGTAAGTCATGCATGGTCTCAGCAGACTTGCCGTGGCTCATCGGTCACTGGGGGATTGGAGCAGTGCGAGTACCAGTCAGGCACAGCATATGCTGCTGGAGAGGACCTCCTTGTCACGGGAGCGTAGTGCTTCAGTAGGTCTTGAGAGAAAAAGACAAAAGCCACTACTTTTCTGACTTCTTATCTGGTCGCAAAAGCATTACCTTTGTTTTCAGGTTGCTATTTTATCAAGAAATGCTTGCTTTATTCAGTAAGCAGCATTTGTCTCCCTTGATAAAACGGACAGTCAGAACCTTGCAGCATTGCATTCCACTTGTACCTTGTTTATCTTGCTCTAAATGCTTTGACATGTTTCTACTGGTCTGTTAATTCATACTTCTGGATTTGTCACCCTGCTCTAAGCATGCGTGCAAGCCATCTGCTCAAGTTCCTCAAGATTCCTTCTTCGATAAAGGAAATAATAAAACCACTGATAACCTTGGTACAAGAACAGAATATGTACAGCACTGTAACAAACTGAAGGTCATCATAAAAAAGTTTATAAACCTCTACCAAGTTTTCTGATAATGCTTTTTTGTGACATCATTTTCACCAGACCACTACTTAAATAGCCCAAACATAAATTGTAAAGACCTCACTCAAATGCAGCTAAACTGTCATCATCTACTTAGATCAGATACAGTGCAAAACCACATATTTTGCAAAAAGGTACCTACACACGTCCTGGTTTCGGCAGGGATAGAGTTAATTTCCTTCCTAGTAGCTGGTACAGTGCTGGGTTTTGGATTTAGGACGAGAATAATGTTGATAACACACCGACATTTTAGTTGTTGCTGAGCAGTGCTCACACTAGTCAAGGACTTTTCAGCTTC